TTCGGATATTCGTGTAACTCATAACTCGGCTGATTCGTAGACTTTTCTCCACTAAGCGTACGAGTTACTGCATCCGAGGATTGACTGTATACTTACATTGTAATGTCGTGCCATTATTGCGATACATACACAACATTTTCGCTTGTTTAATCACATCGTCCGCTTCACGTGTCGACATGCATAATATAGGATTCGGGTTCTGCAAAGTACACACCCCACTTTTACTACATACACCCCACAGAACGTACCCATATCGCACCACAATATAGTTTGTACGACAAATACTGCACAGCAATCTGCATTTGTTGTACGAATGTATGGTGTTTCACCGGGCAAATTGCGTCAAACACGCCATGAACGACTGAAGATTTATTTCCTGAACGACAAGACCGACGGCCACGACGCACTCGTCACTAAACGTAGGATGCAATCAGGTTTCTTAAACGTATTCTTCAGAAATGGCTACAGGCCAGGTTTTAGTCGAAAAAGGTACAAAAATGATTACAACAAAGGTTCACTTTTCACCAAACGCTAATCGGATGCGTTCGACCCAGCGATAATGACCTCTTCGAGCAAGGCACAGAATTGCACAGCTACATTTTGTGATCGAGCCTATCCTGTTGAATTCGACACATTATACTTTTTACGACATCTCCCAGATGGTTTGTTGGTGGAAGGCATGGTTATTCAGCTGTTCACCCGTTACCAATTCCGGTTTCGGCCCCCGGGGGGGTTCGAACCCGCAATCAGAGACTTGGAAGTCAGCTTACTGCGCCACTCGCCAGAGTCCACCCCTCGACCCTATTGTGTTCTGAATCACGACCAGGCCGTCACCCGTCAAATCAATTATTATTTTGTGGATAGATGCCGATTGTTGTGCGATAGCGATCGTATATAGATGCAGTGGTGAGATATTTGTCGTATAACCGTGGTGTGGGCGTCGTGTACAAAGTGTATTTTTGCAACAAGTCTCTTCATCATTCCATTACTGAAAGAGTCCACCAGTCACTGGCGTCCGCCCGTCGCTACTTACTTGTCGACCGACGCCATGTACAGCACAAGGTCCACCAGACGGTTCGAGTAGCCCCACTCGTTGTCGTACCACGCCACGAGCTTCACAAACTTGTCGTTCAGTGCAATGCACGCGTCCGCATCAAACGTGCTCGAGTGCTTGTCGTGCAAAAAGTCGTTCGACACGACCTGGTCTTCCGTGTAGCCGAGAATCCCCTTGAGCTCGCCCTCAGACGCAGTCTTCACCGCTGCCTTGATGGCATCCATGGACGCCGATTTCTCCAATCGGCACGTCAGGTCCACCACCGACACATCTGGCGTGGGCACCCGAAACGCCATGCCCGTCAACTTGCCATTGAGCACCGGCAAGACCTTGCCCACAGCCTTGGCAGCGCCCGTCGACGACGGGATAATGTTCTGCCCACAGCCACGACCGCCGCGCCAGTCCTTGCCGCCCCTTGCCGGCCCATCCACTGGCAGCTGCGTCGCCGTCGTCGCGTGCACCGTCGTCATGAGCCCCTCGACAATGCCAAAGTTGTCGTTAATGACCTTGGCCAGTGGCGCCAGGCAGTTGGTCGTGCACGACGCGTTCGACACGACGTGGGCCGAGCCGTCATAGTCCTTGTGGTTCACGCCCATGACGTACATGGGCGTCTCGTCCTTGGGAGGGGCGGAAATCACCACCTTCTTACAGCCGCCGTCAATGTGCGACTTGGCGTTCTCCGTGGTCGTAAACACGCCCGTGGATTCGCACACGTACGTGGCGCCAGCTTTGCCCCAGGGAATCTCCGACGGGTTGCGGGCCGCAAACACGTGGATCACGTCGCCGTTCACCACGAGGTTGCCGTCCTTGGTCTCGACAGTGCCGTCAAACTTGCCATGGGTCGAGTCGTACTTGAACAGATACGCCATGTAGTCCAAGTCCATGAACGGGTCGTTGATGGCCACGACCTTCGTCTTGCCATTCTCGATAGCAGCACGAGCGACGAGACGGCCAATGCGACCGAAACCGTTGATTCCGATGGCTACTTGGTCTGACATGATTGGAGGGGGGTAGGCTGGGAGGTTTAATGAGCTCTTGGGATCGAGTGCGTCGGAGAGAGCAAATTCAAGAGTGGGGATGGGGAGGTCGGTGGTGACTGAGTTATTCCTCGAGAGAGAGAGAGAGGGGTTGATGATGGCTACATTCTTGCGCCTTTTGCTTTGCCGAGGACGGTTTGCTGCGCGTGCTTCAACGTGATGTGGCAGTTTGTATGTGACACAGGATACGTGGCGACCGAACGTTGGAGCTTTCATTGACCAATCGGATCGCGTCGTAAGAAAAAGGATTTGCCGTAAAAAGTCACGCGATCTTTTGCGGACTTTTCTTTCGCTTTAACCTCGCACAGTATTGCATTTTGGCATTTTGCTTTCTGCTCCAGCCGCACGCACGTGTTGGACCACTAGGCAACTCCTTCTTACTGACATATGGACGTTTGGCGATGTATATGCAAAAGCGCAAGCGAAAAATAGTCATGTGATGCACCTCAATTTGCTCGGCCTGAATGGCTTCTTGTTCGATGGTTAGATTCAAGCAAGTCAGGCCTAAATGCACTGGCAACTGAGAGTTGGCGTCTATCCGTGTAACTAGTCCATCGCGTGGACGGGCACGTGAAAGGTTGCACTGTCTTAATGCAATGCTGTGACTGCACCTCTCCTACCGTGATGTGCTATAAACAGCACCACGAGGCAGGCCACTTGATGTCGCGAAACAAAAGCTACGAAAGCTGGATGCAGAAATAACACTTTTGTCGGACCGAACAAACTGACAAGCATGGAGCTCTCCGTCAGAAAACAACCTTGATGATGCGCATAATTCACGCTGAGTGGTGCTTTATAGGAAGTCGTACCAGCTAGTGATGCATCGTGGCTTCCTTTCTTCTTAGAGTGGTAAAGCAAGCTTATCGTAGCGTTTGTCATGTCTTTATTGTTTTTTTAGAAGTCCGAATTATCGAAATCCACATCTGACATTGCAAAACACGTATACGCCCAAACTGCCGTCATTGATGATGTCACTTCTGGACGAAGGCATAATGCGCTAACGCCTACTGAAGCATACGGTCGCTGCAAGCTGCTCGTGAGGTGGTCTGTTATCGAGTACTTTTCGCAGAAATAGCGTGGAACTTGAGCTAAATTGAACCGGTTCAGCGAAGAACAGTTGGGAAATAGCCGGACGCTTGCTCGTCCAGATTAAGTACATGGACTTGTCCAGAGGAAAGCACATTAGCGTCATCAAATGTTGTCTTTGTTTCATAAACGAGATCACTTCTTTTAGTATGAGCCCAGGCTTGTATGAGTCATGCCGCGTTGTGTTGACAGCATTTGACGATTAAACAATGATGAGCGCTCAGTATCAAACAAGTTGTGTTCACGATAAGGATGTTTGCATCAAGTAATTAGCGTTAGCGCCAAAAGAGCTGTTCGAACAATTATTCAAGGCTTTCAATGTCGAAGTGTCAACCTTGCTTTCTCCATGTCTGTGACTAGCGCTAGGTGTTCCTCACACGCACTACAAAGTGTGTTGTATCTGCATTATAGCGTGTGACTCTTCGATTAGATCGCGAATTGAGCCTGCATAGAAATAGTACGATGTACACACTGATGCGCGCACGTGGTCAAGGTCAAAGGGGGGGGGAGGGTTTCTCCTTGATGTGGGTGCTACAGGAGGCAGCGCAGCGTGTGACTCGATAGAGAAGCAGTATGCTAGATATCCTGGTGCAGGGCACGTCGACGATATATCGAATCCCCTGCAAAACGAAGAAGTTCCTACTCTTTGCGGTCTGCCTACAACTCGCCGACACGTTCGCTGAGCATGAGCATGGTCCCACGAAGAGGACTCTCCCAAGACCGTGATGACCCCGTTGAGACCCTGTACCGGTTGTTTGTGTACAGTAGCACTGAGCCAGATACTCTCCGCCCAGTGGTGCGTCTGGTCACGTTTGAGCACGTTGTGAGCCCGATCCAATCCAAAGAGCAAGAAGTCGACTACGAGGTGATGGTCAGGGATGACGTCAAGATGGCTCGCTGGGGCTACTGCAGTGGTAACAGGACTCCTAGTCAAGCGTCCTCCGTTACCTGAATCAAATTGCTCCGAGCGTGAGAGCAGCTCCGCCATCCGGTAGAGTGCACACTGGAATCTAACCCCGGACTTGGTCAACGGACGGTTTCCACGGGCCCTTTTGGGAGTGCCCCGCCGTGACGCGCGACGCCATGAGCTAGCAGAATGGGAGAGCTAGGAGGAGTAAGACTGTGTCATGGTAGATGATACGAGGTAGTTACCACACAAACAGACATCCTATTAGTGATAAGTAGCAACAATAGACAGTCTGAGCCCCTCATCTTTCTCCTTCTTTTCTCGGATCGTCTCGTTTAAACATCATTACGAACAACGAGCAGCTTTTACATTTGCAATACAGCAACACTTTCATCATGAAACACACACACAGCACAATCAATTTCCTCGCCACTATCAACTTAAAATCGGTACGTGATTTTTTTAGAACCTGATTCAGTTCTCTGGACTACATTACTTCCATTTTAGGGCGAGTTTCAGCAAATCTCAGCATGGAGATAAGGAGCAAGCAATCCTCTATCTTCATGCTGAGATATCGCTAAAGCAGAGCGTTTACGTGCATTCGTTTGCATTCATAGATTGCTTGATTCGAAGAAAACCTGTCGTGGATTATGGAAATCGCTGGCACGAAACTGTTGTTTCGTAATCTCTCATGTGATTCGAATACGACCGCATTCAGCTGAATGTGGGACCATCGTCTGCGCGAGACGAAATCGCCAACCTACACATTCTAAAGATCAGAAAAAGCCATCATGAATCTCACCAATGCCACGTCTGTCCCAGACTGATGATGATGATGCCGTACGAATCCACATGCTCAGTCTATCGTCGTGATGTCGTCATCATCATCATGACCGTGGTCAGCTCAAACTTCAACATGTACCACGCGGGTGTACCCTTCTCGGCTCGTTGGCGCCATCCATTGTGTACCGACTTCTCGTGGCGGGAACAACGAGCCAATCACCGTGCAGTACCTGCCACTTCCCGCCACCAACACTCTCGATTCCGCCCGATGAAGCGCAAGTGCCGCGCTCCATCCCCTACGTCCCCGCGCTCTCGTCGCAGTCGTTCCAGCAGCCCTGTCGACGATGCCTCGTCACCTGCAGCTGTCCGCGACGTTACCACTGGCCGTAGCACAGTCGGCGTGTCCAGAGAACGGGCGCTGTACTTTGCCACTGGCGAACGCCCGTCAAGCGTCGCCCAACCACCTTCGGCCGACAAGGAAGCGTGGCCGGGCTACTTTGCCACCGCTCAGCAGCTCCATGACAATCGCCAGGCAGCTCAAGCCGCGCGCAAGCAGCGCCAAGACGTCGAACAGCTGCAGCAGAGCCAAACCTCGCCGTCTTCAAAGGTCGTCGAGTGGCACCCGAAACGCGTGCCTCGTGCGTCTGTTTTGACGGCAAACGACGTGGTGCAGAAGCTAAAAGACACGGCACTCGAGGTGTCTGGCGACGCACGTCGAACAGCTGCCGACGCTCGAGTACATTGACGCCAGTGCACGGCATCAAGTCGCTCGAGCGGTTGTTGAGCGTCGGAAGCTGCTGCCGGACGTCTTGCCCTTGTTCATCTTTCCAGGAGTGACGGAGATTGACATTCCCGACTGCTCGAACATTGACGAGGAGACGATGGTACAGGCGCTCACGCAGTGTGCTGCTGCGACAGGTACAGGATTGGTGCTGGCTGTGCTGCGCCTTGGACTCTGTGGCCGCTGTGTCTCGGACAGCGTCATTCGGGAACTCGGACCTGCACTGAACACTGTGGAAGAGCTTCAGATGCAGGGATGCTATCGGCTGTCGGACGCAGGATGCAAAGGACTTGTGCGACGCTGTGCGCCGTCGCTCGAGTCGCTTGAACTTTCGTGCAATCAGCGGATCACGAAGCAGTCGATCGATTACTTTTGTGAACTCAAGCAATTGCACTCGTTGACGCTGTCCGAGTGTCCACAACTGGACGATGCGAGTTTAGCCTCGCTTAAGAGCATGAGTCAGTTGAGGAAGTTGAAGCTGAACCAATTGGAACGCCTGTCGGACGCCTTCTTTGTCTCGTTGGCACAGAGTTTACCGGATCTAGAGGAAGTCTCGGTAGCACGATGTTCGCAACTGACCAACACAGCGGTGAGAGGGATTCTTGACGCTTGTCGTGGGTTGAAAGAGATGGATGTGTCCGACTTGCACCAGATCACCGACGAGTGCTTTGAACCTGTTCGAGATCATGGCCACGCGCTTCGCCGCGTTTCCATGCGCTGCTGCTTGGAGCTAACAGATGTGGCATTCCAGCACATTGCTTTTGGAGCCAAAGCGTATCTTGAAAGACTCGAAATGTCGAGTGTGTCGGTAAGCTGCTTCTGCAGGTCGCGTGCGAGTCGATTACTTGTTCTCACGTGCGTACGTGCCGTTTGCTCTTGTTGGTGCATACGTAGCAAGCCACCGATGCTGCGATGATGGCCTTGTTGGAACATTGCGCATCCAGTTTAACAACGCTCGATATCTCCTTCTGTCGGAATATCAGGGAGGACGCACTGGGCGTTTTGACCGATGGAGCCGACAATCTCCGCTCTTTGGTGCTCTGGGGTTGCACACAGGTTGGTGTTTTCCGTCCATGTTTGTCACTCTTTGATTTCCGGACTCATTCTCTGATATTGTTTTGCGCTGTGTATGTGAAGATCACGGCCCGCTTTCTCACATGTCACACTCGAGACGAGATGCTCGTCACAGGCCATCCTCTACTCACAGGCCTCTCTGTTCGATACTGATACTAGACTTATTGGCTAAAATATATATATATAGATGTGACGATATGTTTACCCTATTTCTCGAATCGACTGGACGCGGCGTTCGCAATAGTATTGTCTGCGACTACAACTTCAATGTCCTTTGAAACAATAATGGCTGGTGCCCACTACGTAATGATGAGACGGCCGCGACTTTTCCCAGATTTCGTTGATGCGATTTCAAGCGAAAGGAACCGAGTCCCTCGATTGAATGGCATGTCAATGCAAGTCTCAGATTCCCGACTCATCATGGCTCCGCCAGGTCGCTCATGAAGCACCTTTTGGGAACATTTCTCGGCCATCACAAGTCATTTCGCACGGTGCGAGCTGAAGGAATAACTGTGCGATCGTAATGGAGCTGCGCCACTCTCCTCCCTACCACCGCAAGAAGAGTGTAAAAAGGTGAGTGATCATAGCCACTGGACAAAGGCTTCACCGACATAAACTCGTCACTCACTTTGTCTTTTGCTGTCGGCAGCAATGAAATGCTAACTTGGACGCTGGAAGAAGTACTGATAACGCTGAGGAAGCTTTTGCGCTATGAAAAGCTGAAGCTCACGTTTGATTGCTGTGTTTGGTGTGGTGTGTTCGAGAAGGATTCCTTGCTTCGAGATGGCGTTTGCCAGTACGGAGGCAAGAACTGGAAAGCGATTTCGAGCCGCATTGAGCGCCGGTCCCCTGCCGAGTGTAGCAAGCGATGGAGTACCCTACAAGGTCTTGACACGGTTGTAAAACGACCTTGGACCGAAGAGGAGGACTCGGAAATGATGCGTTTGGTGAAGAAATATGGAGCGAGCAAATGGTCAGTGATTGCTTCATACCTGAAAGACCGCAATGGCAAGCAATGTCGTGAAAGGTGAACATTATGGTGTAGTTGATGGCGTAGTGGCCACGGAATGGAGGCGATTGACTAAGCTTACTTGTTTGTAGATGGCACAACCAGTTGAATCCGTCGATCAAGAAAACGCCCTGGACCGACGAGGAGAATGAAATTATTTTACGACTGCAGGCTCAACTGGGGAATTGCTGGGCGAAGATCACTGCTGCGCTTCCAGGTAGGACGGACAATAGTGTGAAAAATCACTGGCACTCTTCGCTGAAAACCCTGGGGAAGCGTGCACGTGAGGGTAGCAGCGTTTCTTCACGCGGGGACTCCCCAAAGTCGAATCGATCCAAGTTGAGGAAGCAACCCCGCAAGACCAAGTCAGCCAAGAAGGGGAAGGAAAACGTGATACTGTCAAGTGGTGATGCTTCTGTTCGTGAGAATGAGGACGCAGCGGCACGAAGAGGAACTCAAGGGTGTGCATCGGAAACGACGATTTCAGCCTACATTTCTCCCCTCAGCGGCTCGGTTTCTTGTTCGATCACTGTACCGGGTGCTGATGGGTTTGAGAGCTCAGTAATGAGCTGCGAGAGCTCGTCGGGTGGTTCCGGTGATGGTCGCGGGGCTTTGTCGCCCGATTCGGTGTCCCATGTGGACAAATTTGATCTGACCATGTCGTGTACTCAGTTGTACCAAGAAGGTGTGCTGAAAGCTCAAGCTGTGATTGATAACGTATTGGATCCGATGGGAATGGGCAGTTGCAGACTGAACAGCGACTTGTCGACGCCCCCAGGTTCTGAGCTGGACGATATCGAGACGAGGTCGGATCATTCGTTCCAGCACTTGATGGCAGCGTGGTTTGCAAGCGACGACGATTTGTATCGTTCAGTAAGCAGTGACCTGGTGTCAGACCCGACACCAGCAGCTCAACCTCCTTTTGGCCTGGATGAGCTGCCGTTTGATTCGCTCTATGATGTATGCGGTGACGGATTTCTGGCGTCGACCGGTACCGCTACAAATGCACCTCTAGGGCAAGTTGCTCAAAGGTCGATGCTCCCGGAATGGGGAACGTGCATCACAACTTCGTCTCCGTCTGGGGATACGGCAGACTCAACCTTCGTCTTTGACCAGATGGATGATACGGTGCGAGCGACTGCTACGATGATCGAAAATGCTCCGATGGGTGACGTTGCTCAGCGGTCGATGCTCACAAAGTGGGGAACATGCATCACCAATCCGTCTCCGTCTGCGCCACCGGCAGGCTCGAGCTGCGATTCTACTGGAACGTGTATGACGCCGACCTTGTCGTCGATTGATGAAGTGGAAAGTGAGACGTTGTTCCAGATGAAGGATGAACCGCCAAGTGATTGTACCAAGTTTGAAATTTCGGCTATGGCCTGCAGTTTGAAGCAGTCGATTCCAAGCTCTGATGCATTTTCACTTCTCTTTGATGTGGAAATATAAGCTGGTAGCAAATGAAGTCATGTTATCTATTGTCATCTCTTCTTTCATAGAGAAAATGGCATCTCACGTCGGAGGGTTGCGTTGTGAGGGTTCTGCAGCTGCGAGTATACAGAGCTTACAATGTTACCACGACCCGATCACAACATCTCGTCAGGCGCTAGCAATACGAAAAGCAATTGACTTTGATAGGCATTAAGATCCTTGTAGATGCTCGATAGATGACCGAAAGAAAGGTAGTGAAAAGCTTGCAAATGTTCACGCGGAGGATAGCGATCGTCATTTCAACGGAATTCTCCATCTGCTAATGCATCGCGTGAAGCCCGTGACCACGACAGCCTGCCGCGACTGATTGGCAAGGCTTGCATTTCCTCGATCGTGTGGTATCATAACTTGCTTAGTAACTTTGGCACCTTGCCGACAGCGCTAGATGTCAAGAAGAAGCGATAATTTCATCCGTAAAAGACGAGCGATGACACTTGCCATTCCTGCACTAAAGGTGCCCTTCGAATCATGAAAGCACGATATTGACTCTGGTAGCTGCCAGTTTCGATGGAGATCGATAGCACATCTTGTTGGAACGATGGCTCCACCGATGTGATCGTACGTCAATCCTTACAAGGCCTTTATGCGCTTAGAAGCTGCAAAGATCAAGCTCGATTGCGTATTACAATAGAAAATACTGCCGACTGTGTGCAGCATACGCAGCTGTACTCATCAAATCAGATTTTGCAGGCGCTAAGGTGCAATTTCGCCACTCTGTGTGGTGAAAGAAGACCGAGGCGAGGCCCGTACTGGAGAGGGGTGTATCTAAAAGCTAATGGGGAAGGCGCAATGTCAGTGGCTACAGCAGAATACAACGATCAAACGAGAATGAGCAACAATGATCCGCTGTCATTACATGTGTCGGTGTTTTCCTCGCTGGCGAGGAAGCAGCACTAGGTGTCTCTCAGCACGCACACAGCTAGCAACCGGAGTATCCAAAACGTGCCTGCTTCCTTTGATCTTCCTTCTCATTCTCCTAAGCTTAGACGATGGAGCCGGCGTTCGCAGCAATACGTGGCCACAGGTCAGCACACTCCTTGCCCACAGGGCCCGTAATGGCAGAGCCCTTCATTTCTCCCTTTGGATTCACAATGACACCGGCATTGTCTTCAAAGTAGAGAAACACGCCGTCTTTGCGACGCCAGGATTTGCGCTGACGAATGACCACAGCGGGCATGACCTTCTTACGGAGATCCGGCTTACCCTTCTTGACGGTAGCAAGCACCATGTCACCCACGCCAGCAGCAGGCAGACGATTCAGACGACCCTTGATACCGCACACCGCAATGATGTACAGGTTCTTGGCGCCCGAGTTGTCAGCGCAGTTCATGACAGCGCCCACGGGCAGACCCAGAGTCATACGGAACTTGTTGCCAGAGGCACCACCACGTCCTGCAATAAACAACGATCAAGCACGCAATAAATAAGAGGGCCTCGACCTTTACGAATTTTGATAGAGTAAAGTGAGGTACTCGCACATACCGCGTTTCGTTGCCATTGTTGCTGCTTTCTGCGTGAAGAATTACGACTGAGGAGCTCCAAAAGAATACGCGGCTGTCGGCAGCCAACCATTTTTATTTTGCATTTAAAAAGTGCTTTCTATTATTTTTCGCAAGGGACTAAATAATAAAGTCACTCTGACAAGGAATCGAATACTGATAGAAGGCTGGAACTTGTGTGCGCTGCGTTGATTGGTCAATTTGTCCTTTGCAATTGCTGTTGTACAAGAATTGCTCGCTCATGGTGGACTACTGGGTCTCTCGAGAGCGGCGTTGCTGCAAGTACTGCAACGTGTGGATGCCAAGTGACAAGACTGTACGTTTCATCTCTCTCTCTCTCTTAGCTCTCTTTTGATATCCCGTTCTCTTGTGTACGATGCGTGTGTGGGCGTCCAGCTAACGATCTTTATACTTGTCTATGATCCCTATTGTATAGAGCATCAAGCACCACGAACAGGGTCGGAAGCATAAGGAAAAGGTCGAAGAAGTGCTCGAACTCAATCGCCGGACTAAACTAGATGCTAAAAATGCACAAAAGGAGATCCAGAACCAGTTACAGCGGATTGAAGAGGCCGCACATGCCAAATTTGAACAAGATCTGGTCCGTTGCAGCACAAAAGCTCAGGTTTCTACTTCTGGACAGACCGTTGCGTCTTCTCTACCTCCTTTCAGACCAACTCAAATTAAAGCGGTTTCCTGCTTTGTTAAACACCGCAATGAGGGGGATGCAGTGTCAGTGACACGACTAGAGCATCGACAGCCATGGGCTCGTGGAGCTTTGGATCGATTAAATTCAAAGGAGAACGAGGAAGTTAACGAAGAAGAAGAAGAAGAAGGAGTGGAAGAACAGGACGATAAGGGCGTGTACGCGGTGAAAGGCATTGTGTATCTAGAAGGCAAAAAGCACGAGACCCAGCTGGACTCTGGGAGTGCGTGTCAGATATGGGTCGAAGAACAAGAGCAGTGGCTAGATGCTCTTGTGGAACAGGCTACGGTGCATACAATCTTGAACACCGAGTTGAGCTTCAGACGCTTTACGATTGCTTACATGTCGCCGTCGTCACAACAGTGTGCCGAAAATGAAGACAAGCGGAAGCCAGTCACTGAACATAATGTACTAGCAGACCGCTTGCGGATTCCGTTGCCGGCAAACGTGACGCTAGAAGCTGCCGAGAAAATGGTGGAGCGATGGCGTAACCACGGAGCAGCAGAATCACCAACGTGGACACCTGTCGTGATCGATGAAACGACAGGCATGGGCGAATGGAATACAGTGGAAGTGCGGCAAATCGACGAAAGTTTAGAGGCTGTAGCACAACGTGAGAAGGAAGCGGAAGCCGAGACAGCACGTCGTAACGAAGAGCAGCAGTGTCTCGAGTCGTTAGAGAATCTTTCTTCACAAGGAGACAATGCACTGGGTGCATTCAACCCATGGGGAGGTACTTACAAGGGCCTGAACCTTGACAGTAATGCTGATGCAACTGCGCCTGGCCATGTAGCATCAAGTAGTAAAGAGATGGCAAGCGGGTCAAACGTCAGCTTCAAGAAGCGCGGTCAAAAGAAGCAGAAACGTCGGAGGATACACACTGATGAAGACGAGTAAACGACTGTTTGACATTCTGCGTGCCTGTTTATGCCTGTACCTTGATGAAAAAACACGTTGTCGGTTTGCTGGCGACAAAAAGCACTTCGGCAACAAGCGTGACCGTCTTTACATCTACAAACTCGTCGCGCCTTCTCCTCTTGCTGACAAGAAAAGAAGAGTACCCCACCCATACCCGGTCCAAAGCAGCCAAGACGCTCTACAGTTGGCCACCCGCAGCTTTAATCCTCTCAGCATCCAAGTATGCCGTGCCGTACGGCAAAAACTCGTCACTGTGAGTGCTGGCGATGTTCCGGTACTCGCTGGCCTGCTTGGTAATATCAGCGACCTCGTCGTCCGAGAGGTCGCGCACGTACTTGGCCGGGTTGCCCGCCCAGAGTTGTCCCGCAGGAATGCGGCGTCCAGGCGGCACGACGCTGCCAGCTGCAAGGATCGTGTTGGACTCGACGAGGGCACCATCGAGAACGATCGTGCCCATGCCAATGAGCGCACTGTTCTCAATGGTGCACGAGTAGAGCGTGCAGCCATGGCCGACAGTGACGTCGTTGCCAATGTGCGCGCCTGGGGCTAAGCCTGGACTCGTGGAGCTCGCTGTGTGGATGACTGTACGGTCCTGCACGTTCGTGCGGTTGCCAATACGCACTTGGTTGAGGTCGCCTCGGATCACGACGTTGTAGAAGATCGAGGCATCGTTGCAAATCTCAACGTCGCCTACGACCGTGGCGTTTGGAGCGACCCACACGTCGTGGGCGATCTTCGGACGCTTGTCGTACAGAGCCATGACCTGACGGTGGCGAGAAACTGCATCAGAAGGCACACGTACGGACGCACAGAGAGAGAGAGAGAACAACCACAATAGTGTGATACAAATCCAGTTAAAAAAGAAAACAGCCGTTTCGTAGTTTTCAAAGAGCTCCGAGACAAAATGACTGGACAGGAGCGACGGACGGAGAGGGAGAGAGCGCGGTCGTACATTTTTCCTTGAACGAGTGGTCGTTCAAAACGCGCAGACCGAGGCGGTCGAGTGCCTGTCCCGTCTCGCGAGCGCAGCGGCCCAGTTCGTAAGTTACTTTACGCATCATGATGGGACTGGAGAAAGACGATGGGGGAGGAGAAAGTAGGAGGTGACGAGCGTGAGGTCACGACGGAGTAGGGCAGGTGCTTGGATTGATTAATCGATTTAAATTAGAGGGAGTGAGGGCGAAGGCCAGGGTATCCGGACGGTTTGCGGTTAAAGGACCGGTTCAATGTCCTGAAGAGGGAGGGACCTCTCGGTACGACACACATCGTTCATGATGGTTCAGGGGTGGTACTTTTTTGTACGACCGCGTTGCGTCGTGACGGGATTTGGATTCAAATTAAATACTGCGGATTTTAATCTGCCACCGCGCGAATAAAACAAAAAGGTTGTAAATATGTTTTTTTCAGTGAGCTCGACCGGCATGTTGCTCTAGGGCGAGCACGCTCTGATGGTAAACCTCACGAACGATCATTCGTAACTAGTCGTTCCAGTCTGTTAAGGCAAGTGTGGTTGCATTGTCTGATACTGTATCCAGTGAGAAGTATCAAGTCAATTATTGCGCAGCCGGAGTACGTTAACGTGTAGATGTCACGAGTCCCACGTCGCATTTCGTATCATCCTGTGAAGTTTAGAACGATGTAAGTGTTATCAAACGATGTATGTATCCCATGGCATGTGCAACAGTCTTGTGCATTCTGTGAGCATTTGCTTTACGCACAGCATTCAAAAAAAGTATTTTTGGATATCCCACGGGACGCGTGGATGCAAGTCATGGATGCAAGTGACAACGGCATAGTAGCACTGACAAAGACGGCTAAATGGTTGGTAGTGAAGGGTGATAGAAAAGAGATACAGTGTGATACAGGAGTGATCATGGGGACGGAGTGTGTTGGCGCTGGCTTTCGGCAAGGCCATTGACAAGGGCACGACGGCAGTTTTTGTAGAGAGGAGCAACGATTCTTCTCTCGTCGCACAAGAAGATTGTGTAATTCTTGATCCACTCTGATACAGGTGTGCTTACTAACAGTGTATGGATCAGCAATAATATGGCGTTGAACGCGGCTGTGACGAGTCTTATGGATGAGGTTGGGCATCACGGCGTCGGTGTAAGCTGCTTGAGGCCTCGAACTATGAACATCATGCCAGCACATGGAATTCCTGAATTACTTGTAAGTCAGCACTCTCGATACATGAGAGAGTCGGCGTCGTCAAGCTTGCCCCCGCCGTTTGGTACATAGTGGTATACTCGCGGAGGAATGCTGAGAACCACGCTTTGCTTTGGCGGACAGCTCGAGTACGAACGTCGGTGCTGTCGCTGCCTTTTCGTCAGTGAACCAACCTGCTGCATCTGGTACGGGCGGAACTATTTACGGTGGGAACGTCGTGGAAATGGGGACGAGTTGTGTGTGTGTGGCAGTCACTGGTAATGCCGTTCTCAACTACCACCAATGGTCTGATTGTCGATGAAATTCGTGTGAGCGCAGTGACTACGTGTACAACAAGAATAAACGGTACGAAGCCCCTTTGTCATGTCGGAAGAATAGCCAACAGATCTATTTGTTATTCTCTGTCATAGGTACACGCCATTGTTGCGCGCAAAGAACAGCAGTGTCTACTCGAGTTTATGCTTCGTAAACAAGTAGGCCTGCTGTCCATCACGCGCGGGAATCGGATGAACAAACTTGACTGCCAACCCAGTTTGCCTCGCATTCATATCAGTGGCCGATAGTGCTCATGCACGTTTGATGCTGGGTGTACGTAATACGGCGTGTTTGCCTTGTGCAGTATCACCGCTGATACTTTTGTCAGATGAAATGGTTTGTACCAGGCTGAGTTTCAGGTCTATCGGCAAGATTCCTGCATCACTGTCGATGATGTGGTACCTAAGCGGTCCAAGCTGTGCATCGTATGTCGAAGGTGGTTGTCGCTATTGCACACCAGTGTTATTCGGAAACGATGACCAATCGATCAGTAGGCGTGGTTTCAGCCTGCCAAATTCCAGCTGTATGCTCCATACTGCACTTCTAAACGGGCTACATCTTCACAAGCTGCGTTACTTCCGGTGTTTTATGTTGAGGTGATGGAGGACGTCACATACTTTTGGTATCGTAGCAGGCGTTTGCTCGATTACCGACACCTCGAAGTAGAAGGACCCAAACTCGTTGAAACGACGCTATGCACGCGACATTTCATGCACACTTCACTGTTCGATACAACAATGTATTACTTTTCAGTTACACCTGCAGCTTGTTCCACTCCTCCATCAAAGTCTTAAGTGCTTTCATATCGTTCCACACAAACGCGTGTGCTGTCGCGCCTTTTCCTGGAAAGTGTTTTTTCCCCATCAAGTCCCGCCCGAGGACCTCCAAATCCTCCATGTCATCCGGTAGGGCACAGTGGACAAAATAGGCTTTCACAGCAAGGGTCTGTGAATCCTTTGCACTCAGCTTTAGGTCCGTCCCTTTCTCACGTTCTAGCTGTTGTAAGAAGTGGAGCGGTAGCACTTTTTTCTCCCTAACCAGTCTCGTGTGTAGGTGAGAGACCAGACAGTCAGCGAGCTTTGTCAAGTCTTGATTTTTCCTCATCTCTTCGAGGAAAACCGCATACTTGAATTCATGCGATTCTTCGTTACCACGGGTATCTTGGATAGCAACGTTTGCTCGACCTGGGATAATACCGAAACGGTTCCATCCCCGTGAGACGTAACCACGGGCCTGTTAAACGGCGTTCCGACGTACCTGAGCCAGCGACGAACTTTGTAACGGGGTGAATCGTTACATAACAATTTATAAGAAATTGTTAATAGAATATAACTATAAGAGTTATATTCTCTGAATAGTGGCATAAGGACAATATTCTGTAGCACTTCCAAGTAGTTCCTAATTGGTTGATTTAGGCCATTATATCAACCAACGAAGACGCGCCACGACAGACGCACGCAATGAGTGGTGAGCAGATAACTGATTTACACATTTGTATTTAGACATAGTTAGATGAAGATAAATAGTGATTTATTGCAGACATTAACTATTATAAATACAGTTCTACTTTTTACTCTAACCAAGTACTCGCTTCTTCTTACCGTCTTCCTCTGCACGTACGAGTGTACGTGAAGTTACGAGGCACCGCCTTATTCTGTTATCAGAATAAGTAGCTTGTACTGTCACCAGTACAAGCTTCCAGGGTGCCCCGTTACACCTGGTAGCACTTCGTAGTCCGTCCAAGGACCGCGTTCACATCCAACATGAATATGTTGGATGATGAAGATGACCAAAGCTTTCACGCTACGCGTGACGGCTACTCCCATTTGAGCGATGTCGAATGGGATGCGGTTGAACGAATGGGTTCGACCATGGGCATCCATGCTGTTAGCGTCATGCTAGAGGCTCTCAATAGAGATGCCCAACATGCTACTATCGCCAAGTTCATTCAAAATGAACTTGACGCAGAACGCGAGAAAGTAGCCTTGCTTCACCAACAAGGTTCTCAACAAGCAGAGTTGTTGAGAGAACAAGGTGCTCAACAGTTTGAACTGTTGAGACAGCAGCAGGCTGCTGCTGGCGGGTCGATGCACTCGCGTCGGCCCGAGACTTTGAAGATTGACATCTCAAAGTATAGGGGGTCGAAGAAGACTCCCTCTTGAGATGGTTCGTCGAATTGGATGACGCCATAAGGGCGCGTCGCATCGACGACGGGGATATGCAAGTTGCATTTGCCCAGTCAAATCTGGCAGGACGTGCCAAGACTTGGGCACTGGGGCTCAAGCTGCACGACCCATACGCGTTTGGGTCGTTGGAAGTCTTCAAGTCGCGGCTCAGACAAACGTTTGAACCGCCTAGAGCTGAGTTCAGAGCTCGAACCGAACTCTTGAAGCTCAAGCAGGGTAAGCGTGATGTGCACGCTTACGCTCAACATATACGACATCTCACGAGTTGTATAAGTTCCAATCCGGTGGATGAACACACGTTGGTTTCGGTGTTCATGCAGGGTCTTGCGGATGGTCCCGTCAAGACTCACCTGTTCCGGCTTGAACTAGATTCACTAGAACAAGCCATTTCAATTGCGGAGCAGAAAGACTTCAGTCTGAGACAGGCTCGCGCCAGCTCTACATCATGTCTTTCACCGAGACGATATGACAACGGAGGTCCAGAGCCGATGGAACTCTGTTATGTAGAGAGCGAGAAGGCTCGCTCTACAGGCTAAAGAAGTTGCAGAAATGCAACAGACGTCAAAAGACAGGACACTACGCTTACGAGTGTAGTGCCCCTCGTCCAGTGTCTCGCAACACTGGGCGTAATGACCGTCAACCCATGAGAAAGGGGCAGGGACGCGGGTCCGCTGTTGGTGCAAAGACGCAACAACGGGATAGACCGTAAAAAACGGACAGGATCAGTAGGTGCGGAGCACCCTACTGGTCTAGCAACGTCAAGAGAATTTGTAGGCCTCTTGATGAAGGTTGCTCCCAACACACAAACGTTGTGCGTTGCTGCTCTAAGTAATGAGATCTCCCTCATTACCTTGAAACTCGAAGTGACGAATAAGTTGTCCCTTCGAGCTCTAGTCGATTGTGGGGCGTCCAACAATTTTGTGCAACGCCAATCGCTAGAAGATGGTCACTTTAAGCTCAGTGAATGTGACACACCTCCGACGAGGATGACGGTACGTCTTGCGACAGGCGCATCCGTAACCGTCATGCAGCGTATAGTGAAGATCCACTATACGCTAGAAGATACCCAATATGATGATGACTTTGTCGTATTGGATTTGGATGACAAATTTGATGTCATCCTTGGAATATTTTGGCTCAGAAGGTACGAACCACGAGTAAACTGGCAACATCGAACAGTAACGATGCCTGCCGCTTGCTCATCAGATGGCCATCTGATGAACGTTTTGGAGAGTCCACAAGCGTGTGGATGTACTACGAGTGAGTGCGATGGCCTCACTTGTGGTACGGTCGTTAGTACGACTGCACAAAACCTTAGTGTACCAAACGGTTACACTTCGGAGCAAAGTTCCGGCGGCTGTGAGGAAACACAGGCTGCGCCGAAGGTCCACCACTCGAATAAGTCGGGTGGACTGGGACAAAGATGTATCCCTAGAGGGGAACATCTAGAAGAGAAACAATCGATCGCTCAGGTTAAGCGAAACGATAATCCTAGATCGACTGGAGAGCCTTTCGTAGAGGATCTCGCTGTGGTTGCGCAACCCCAGCTAGAGGAAGTAAAGGGAATAAGTCCCAAGATTACAAATACGGCGGAAATAAGTTCCCCGAAACCCGCGGGAATAAGTCCCCGGGAAGACGAAGGAATAAGTCCTTCAAAGCCTGAGGTAATAAGTCCCCAGGAAATGACAGAGACATTGAATGTCCTAGTCAATAACGGATCATGTGTAGGCGCTTATACACTTGATCTGATTGCGCCTCCGAAGTTAACTTCGGAGATCACTCAGTTGCCAACGCTCGAACATAAAAGGTTCTTGCGTGATCTGCGTAGTGGCAAAGTCAAGCAGATCTGCATACTCATCGCTGAAGACGAGTATGTAGCCGACATAAGGTCAGCAACAATGTTTACTGAGAAGGAGAGACTTCTCAGTAGTTCATCTATGGACGAGAGTGTCCTAGATGAAAAGACACGAATTGAGCGATATGACTCCCAATCATGGGAATCGCTCAAGACAAATCCTCTCTATGAAGATTTGGTTGAATTCAAGGATGTATTCCCTGAAACTGTTCCGTGCGAATTACCGAAGGATAAAGGTATTCGACACGAAGTCGAGCTTAAACCAGGCTCGAAGTACTGTGTCATGAAGCAGTGGCCACTGCCTCGTGAACAAGTACTTGCGATCGACAAGTTCTTTGCCGATCGTTTAGCAGCGGGCCATGTGAGGGAATCAACTTCCCCACATAGCTCTCCGACCTTCTGTGTGCGAAAAGCAACAGGGGGGTGGCGGATAGTGCACGCGTTTAAGGAACAAGTTGAACGCTGCAACGGTACCGGCTCAGACGCCGATACCGAGGAAGGACGTAATCATTGATGGTATGTCAAAGAGTACCATCTTTTCGTCCATGGATTTGATGGATGGCTTCTATCAAATCCTAATGCGGGAACGGGATATACCCTATACCGCAGTTAGCACGCCTAGCGGCATGCTCTGGGAATGGCTAGTAATGCCACAAGGGCTCAGTAATGCCCCTGCCACGTTCAACAGGCGTGTATCACATCTGTTGAGGCCAGTACGAGAATTCGCGCCGAGTTATTTCGATGACGTATTCATCCATAGTCGAGCTATGGATGGAAAGTCGGACGTTGAGGTTCACAGGTACCACGTCCGACAGGTTCTTACAATCATGCGAAAGCATCAATTGTATGCTAACCTCAAGAAGTGTATATTTGCAGCAAGCGAAATACCACTTCTTGGGTGCATCGTTGGTAAGAACGGTGTACGTCCTGATCCCGAAAAGATCAAGGCGATCACCGACTGGCCCGTGCCGGTCGATGTCAAAGGTCTTCGAAAATTCCTTGGGCTAGCGGCGTATTTGCATAAGTATTCACGCAATTACGCCGAGATGACTGTACACCTCTCTCGTTTGTTGAAAAAGAACGAGAGGTGGTTATGGAACGCTGAATGTCAACGCTCCTTT